GCTGCCGTCGCAGTCGCTGCCGCCACCGCTGCCGCCGCCGCCGCCACCGCCGGTTCCGCCGCCGCCGCCGCCGCCGCCGCCGCCCGCGCCGCCGCCGCCGCCCACGCCGGCACCACCGCCGCAGCCGCCGCATCCGCTGCCCCCGCCGCAGCCGCCGCAGCCGCCGCCGCCAAGGGTATTGTGTATTGTTTTTTGGGGCAGGGATGGTGGGGGGAGGCCGCATCGGGTTCGCTGCGCATGCTCCGAATTTGGAAACAGAGTGTGTTTTGCATAGTTTTTTACACGAGATGGTGGGGGCATAGTGTGTTTTGTAGTGTGTTTTACCAGGGATGGTGGGGGGGGGGGCCCGCATGGACCTGGGTTGGCTCCCAGTCGCCTGGGGGGGGGGGTATATTGATAGGGAACAGTGATCAGGGTACCCACCCGCCCGCAAGCCGTCCAGCTCACGCCCACCCGCCCTCCCAACACGTAGTAACACCCGAGCCTGAGCATGTTCAGCGGACGTCTTTGGATGCGCTGGGAACCAAAACTGGCCCCAGGTGCGCGACGCTTGGGCGAGGTGCGCCACGCGTGCCAGTGGCACCACGCGTGCCAGTGGCGCCACGCGTGCCAGGCACCCCTGGGGCCCGAGCGTGCCAGGCACGCCTGGCCCCCACTGCGCCAGGTGCGCCGCGTTCGGGGCACGCGCAGAGTGCGCCAGGCGCGCACGTGACAGGGCCTGCGCACAGCAAGCCACGCGCCACTACCCCCGCCGTCCCCGTCAAAAACCATTTGACAGTGATCGCGGGATGGCCGCGCATGATCCAGATGTTGCCGCGAGGTGCATGTTGCATTGGTTTTTTGTCAGGGATGGTAGCCCTGCGCGCAGCAGGGAATATGCTGGCACCCCCGCCGTCCCTATCAAAAACAATACAAGCTGTTCGCGGGCCGCACGGATATGACTCAAGACTTTGACCCAAAGTGTATTTTGCATTGTTTTGTTGTCAGGGACGGTGGGAGGGGGCCGCAGCGGGTTGGCCCCGCACGCTCCAAATGTGGAGGCAGAGCGTAGTTTGTATTGTTTTTTGACAAGAATGATGTGGGGCGGGACTTCATGGTGTCCTCATGGTTCCTGGTTGGACGCCGGTCGCCTGGGGGAGGGGGTGTATATTAATTGACCAAGCCACCCACCCGCCCGCAAGCCGTCTATCTCACTCCCACCCGCCACCCCTAGACATAAGTTACACCCGAGCCTGAGCATGTTCAGCGGTCGTCTTTCGATAGGCAGTTACTGGAAACCAAAGCCGACCCCAGGTGCGCGACGCTTGGGCGAGGTGCGCCACGCGTGCCAAGGGCGCCACGCGCGCCAGGCACCCCTGAGGCCCGAGCGTGCCAAGCACGCCTGGTGTGCCAGATGCACCACGTACTCCGAGTGCGCCAGGTGTGCCGCACGCTCCAGCCGCGCCAGGTGCGCCGCGTTTGGGGCAAGTGCAAAAGGGCGTCAGGTGCGCCTGCGACGTGACAGCACACATCGGGAAACATGTCGGCCCCCACCATCCTTGTCGAAAACCAATGCCCATCATTGTGTCTGGTGGGCCTGCGCACAACAGGCCACGCGCTACCACCCCCGCCGACCCTGTCAAAAACCACTTGACAGTGATCGCGGGATGACCGCGCATGATCCAGATGTTGCCGCGAGGTGCATGTTGCATTGGTTTTTGTCAGGGATGGTAGCCCTGCGCGCAGCAGGGGATATGCTGGCACCCCCGCCGCCCCTGTCAAAACAGTACAAACTGCTCGCGGGCCTCACGAACATGACTCAAGACTTTGCCCCACTGTGTATGTTTGCATCGTTTTTTGACAGGGATGGTGGGGGGGGCCGCAGCGGGTTGGCCGCGCATGCTCCAAATGTGGAGGCAGAGCGTAGTTTGCATCGTTTTTTTGACAAGGATGGTGTGGAGCGGGACGTCATGGTGTCCTCATGGTTCCTGGTTGGACGCCGGTCGCTTGGCCGCGCAGAGTGCAGTTTGTATGGTTTTTGGACAGGGATCATAGGGGGCGGGTCGGCATGGTGCCGGCATGGTGTCAGCACGGTGCCTAGTTGGCCCCCGGTCGCCTCGGGGAGGGGGTGCATGCTTATAAGGAACAGTGATAAAGAGCTCCCTCGAGCAGGGGAAGCAAGGGTTTTGGCAGAGAGAAGACAGTGATAAAGAGATCCCTCGAGCAGGGGAAGCAAGGGTTTATAAGGAACAGTGATAAAGAGATCCCTCGAGCAGGGGAAGCAAGGGTTTTGGCAGAGAGAAGGCAGAACTCGTTCAACCGCCTGCGCCCAAAAGGCTGGCGGGACTTTCTGCCGCAGTGCATTTGCAACACAGTTGCCCTTTCGCAATACGTTTGCAACTCGTCGCCTGCGCGCATTGCAGCAGTAGTGCGCGTGCAGTGCTGGACAAAACGCTTCATACTAAGTGCGCCACTCCTTGATGCGAATAGTGCCGCAGATGAGCCGTCGAGGTCTTTCGACAACATTCCGAGATGCTTGTTTGCCGGTTGCGTCGTTTCTGCAGGGATGCGTTGCAACGAACGGCGGAATGGCGGCATCATTTTCGTACGGGCCCGTCGGATACTTCAGTGCCAGCTCACTTTTTGCCACCACCCCCTTGTGGGTTGTCCAGATACACTCCTTTTCTCTCTTCCTCCCTTCCCCTCCTCCTCCCTCCTGGAGCCCCGCCCCACCCTGAAGGGGGTGGGCACACCTCGAAGAAGAGCTAGCTGCACTGCCGTATAGCCGCAGACTTTCGGAGGTCCAGGCGGACCTCCGAAGCGTCGTGGTTATGATGGCGATGCTCATGCCCTTCTGGGGGCGGGGGGCACGCTGGGAGGCGGGGAGGCCTCCTCCTGCACTTCCGCCTTGCTTTTCCACCTCCGTTCCTCTGCTTCTGCTCCTCCTCGTCTCTCCTCCTCCTCCTCCTCCTCCTCCTCCTCCTGCTCCTCCTCCTCCTCCTCCTCCTCCTCCTCCTCCTCCTCCTCCTCCCCCGTCTTCATCAGCATCAGCATCAGCATCATCCTAAGAATACAACGAATGAGATTCGCAAAAAGACGTAATCGAAGACACATACGAATTCTACGACTACGATTTTAAAAATAACGTGAATACGATCAATTCCATTATTGATAACACAAAACCCAGTTGCTAGTGTTGCTGATATTTGTAACAATCACAATACTACGAGCAACAATCACGATACTAAGAGTAAGAATAATCAGACGAACCATAGTCGTATCAATGATAATTAGTCTGAAAATGGTCACAACACCAAGAATAAGGATAGCCGTCATCAGCATCAACGACAAGAACATCATCATCATCATCACCACCATCATCGTCACCAGCATCATCAGCATCACCATCAGCATCATTACCATCGTCATCATCATCATCATCAGCAGCAGCAGCAGCAGCATCACCATCATCTGCATCGTCTGCATCATCTGCATCAGCATCAGCATCAGCATCCTCAGCAGCATCATCATCATTAGCTCAGAGAGAGCGCGTTCTGTGGTCGCTTGGGGGGGGGGGGGTTGGAACGGGACCCCTCCCCCCACCGTGGATGTAGGGGGGGGGGGTCGAACACCCCCCCTCACCTCCCTTACTTCTCCTCTCTCCCTCTCCTCGGCTGGCGGCGGCGGCGGCGGGGACGACGATTTCCTTTTCTGGGCCGGCGCCGGCGCCTTGGCGGCGGGCGGCGGCGGCGGGGAGCGTCGACGAAGACGACGGTGGTGGTGGTGGTGGTGGGTTGTGGTGGTGGTGGTGGTGGCGGTCGAGGTGGTGGCGGTGATGGTGGTTGTGGTGGTGGTGGTGTGGTGGTTTGTTGTGGTGGTGGTGGTGGTGGTGGTGGTGGTGGGTGGTGGTGGTGGTGGTGGTGTGGTGGTGGTGTGGTGGTGGGTGGTGGTTGGGTGGTGGTGGTGGTGGTGGTGGTGGTGGTGGTGTGGTGGTGGTTTGTGGTGGTGGTGGTGGGTGGTGGTGGTGGTGGTTTGGTGGTGGTGGGTGGTGGTGGTGGTGGTTTGTGGTGGTGGTTGTGGTTGTGGTGGTGGCGGTGGTGTGGTGGTGGTGCTGTGTGGTGGTGGTGGCGGTGGTGGTGGTGGTGTGGTGGTTTGTGGTGGTGGTGGTGGTGGGTTGTGCTGCTGGTAGTGGTGGTGGTTGTGGTGGGTTGGTGGTGGTGGTGGTGGGTTGAGGCGGTGGTTGTGGTGGTAGTGGTGGTGGTGGTGGTGGTGGTAGTGGTGGTTATCGTCGCTGCATCCCCGCCGACGCCGGCGCCTGCGTTGGCGCTGCTGGCCGCCGCCAGCGCCGGCGCCGGCGCCAGGGGAGGGGGGGTTTGAACCCCCCCCCCTCGCTCGGCGCCAGGGGGGGTTGAACCCCCCCCCCCTTGGGAAGGGGGGGGAGGTTCGGGAGAGGGAGGGCTTGGGGGGGAGAGGATTTCCTTTGGATTTGATCGACGGCGCCGAGTGTTGGGGGGGGGGGGGGGCACCGCCCAGTTCGAAACGCACCGCCTAATGTTCCCAAGGCAAGTGCCCGTGAAAGGCGTTCTCTCTTAGCTCAAGGACTCAAGGACCCCTCATTTTGCCCGCCCCTCGCCTCTGCTGGTCAGCTCGCGATTTTTCTTCGCAGAAGCATGTCGCGGCCGCTCCTGGCCCTCTTTGCCTGCACCGCCCGCGTCGCCCTTGGTCGCCTCGACTCTGGCGCTAACCTGACGCAGACCAGCCGTTGCGGCCAGCAGGGAGAGGTACGCGCGGACCAGTGCAAGTGTGACGCCCGCGGCAGCTGCGCGTGCACGCAGCGTTGTGGCTCGAGCGGGTATCTTTGCGACTACGGCCAAGAGTGCAGCTGCGACGCCGGGTGCAGCTGCGACGCCCACGGCTCGTGCAACTGTGTCAAGCCACCCGAGCGCTGCGGCCAGCAGGGCGATGTGTGTGCCGACGGCACGGGGCGCAAGTGTCACGGCCACGGCAGCTGCGCGTGAGCAATGAGCTGTGGCTCGAGCGGGTACTTCGGCGACTACGGCCAAGAGTGCATCTGCGATGCCCACGGCTCGAGCAACTGTGTCAATCCACCTGAGCGCTATGGCGAGCATGGCGATGTCTGCGCCGAAGGCGCGGAGTGCAAGTGCGACGGCCACTGCAGCTGCGCGTAAACGCAGCGCTGTGGCTCTAGTGGGTACCTCTGCGACTACGGCCAGGAGTGCAACTGCGATGCCCACGGATCATGCAATTGCCTCGACAGACCAAGCTTGGCCCGCGGTCGCTCCCGCTCTGGCGCCAACTTGACGCAGCCCAGCCGATGCGGCAAGCAGGGCGAGGTGTGCGCCCAAGGCACGGGGTGCAAGTACGATGGCCACGGCAGCTGCGCGTGCAGCTGCGGCTCAAGCGGGTACCTTTGCCACTACGGCCAGGAGTGCAGCTTTGACGCCCACGGCTCGTACAAATGTGTCGACAAACCATCGTGCTCAGCAGACCAGCGGCGTCCTCTCGCGCGCGCGGCCTACAACATTCGCGATGTGGAGAAGTCTTGCGGCAGCGGGACAGAGCACCAGGACCAGTCGTGCCTCGACCAGACTGGCGGCTGCACCGTGCGCCGTGGACCCTGAGTTTCCCGCCTCGCAGGGAGGCGCGCTGGCCGCTTCTGGGGCCGCCCCAGGTTCAGTTCCGGGGCGCCGCGCCATTGGCGGCCGACGCCCTGGCACACCTGCAACAGCCAGGCGCCGCACAGCGTCGGACGGGAGCGCGCAACTAGCAGCATGACAGCTGATTGTCAGTTTGCGAAGGGCCCTTTCACTTGAACAAGCAGCTGCCCACCGTGGCGCGCGCGCCCGCCCTGAGCCTCCACTCCGCGGCTGCGGGGCCGTGGCGCATGGACCAGCTCGCCTCCGCACGCCGGTTGTCGTCGTATTTCTGCCATGCGCCGTCGCGCGCACAGCTCGGGCCACCCCCCTGGCGCGCGGAGCCCTCCCGACGCCTCCACCCCGCGGCCGCGGGGCCGCGGCACCTGGGCCAGCCGCGCGCGGACAGCCCCTGGCACGTAGTTGGTGTTGTCTTTGTTGCATGCCTTGCCTTCGCGTCGGACTTCGCGCCGACCGATCCTCCGCGCCGAAGTCACTGGCGTGGCGCCGGCGGGTTGCGTCTTGCAGTTGCGATGCGTTGCGCGCCAGGTCTTTTCCATTCCCTCCCTCCTTCCCCATTCATCCCCCTTCCTTCGTGTCTCCTCTATGATCAATCATGTCATTGTGAGTCACCGCCGCCACGGTCGTGCACTGTCGGTCTCACGGCGTTCAGGCCTCGCGCTTTGTCGATGACGCGCGCCGTCGTCTTTTGAGTTGTTTCTTAATCCGTCGTTGGTCCCCAGCTTTTTCTCCATGTCCCACGTCGCGCCCTACCGAGTTGGCTTGGGAGTGGCTGGTCCGAGCATTGGTTTTCGCCCGCCGTGCCAGCCATGCCAAATGTCTCATGTCTCTCCTCGCTTATCCCTTCTTCTCGCATGCAGCACTCTCGTTCCTCTTTCAGACCGCGATTCATTGCATGAGTTTGTTTGTCGCAGTTCGGCCCTTGCGGCGTTCACGGTGTGCCTGGCGACATTTGGATTCGCTCAGCGGTCGAGGCCGAGTCAAGTGAAGTTATGTGGTCGCGTTCCTTCCTTCTCTTCCGAAGCAATCATCGTCACCATCATCATCACCATCATCATTAGCAGCAGCAGCAGCAGCAGCAGCAGCAGCAGCAGCAGCAGCATTACCACCATCACCATCATCACCATCAACAGCAGCAGCAGCATTATCACTATCCTGGCCCCTGCGCCCCCATCCACTCCACATCCTTTTCCGAAACTGCCCTCGCCGTAGGCCTCCGGATCGGCATTCGAGTCCCAATGCTTTCGATTACACGTAAGAGCCACTTGTCACCAGAGTGACCTTCGGTGCGGGCCCGGTGCGGTCGTCCCCCGATGGCTGAATGGGATGTGATGGCAGCAGCCTGTGCGCTGGGGTCTGCCCCCCCACCCCACCCCACCAGGACCCCTCTGAGGCCGCGCGCCACAGGTCACTCTTGCTCAAGGTCACGCCTGCGCGTGTCTGAAACAGACAAACCGCACAGTTAGGATGAGCGACCTTCCAAGGTTCAAGGTTACCATTGCATCCTTCCCCTTCGGCCCATCCCTGGCCGCTTTCGGTGGCCGCGCCCAGCCCGCAAATTGTCGACACGGCCTTCCAAGTGGCATCCTTATCGTGCGTCCTTGTTACACGGGCTGACTGCACTCGGACCTCGATCCCCGCTTCCCCCTCCTCGCCGGAGGACGGGGGGCCTCAGCTCGGGGTGCTGGGAGCAAGCCCGATGGGGGACAGGCGCAGCGCGGGGCGCTTCGACCCCCCAGGCGCCCATCCATCGCCGACAGGTGCCTGATAGCCCACCCGGCCCAGGCCCAGGCACGTGCTCCTCCTCCTCCTCCTCCTCCTCCTCCTCCTCCTCCTCCTCCTCGTC